GTGTGTGTGTGTGTGTGTGTGTGTGTGTGTGTGTGTGTGTGTGTGTGTGTGTGTGTGTGTGTGTGTACATCTTCACAAGCAGCGATTTGCTCTTGTCACTGTGGAAACGTCTGTCAGTGTGACAAGAGTCCACAGAGGGAGCTTCCTCTTTGGGAAAGTGAAGAGTCACCAACAGTTGTGTGATTTTAAATGAATAAACACCACTCTGCAAGGCCAGTGAGCATTAATCTTTGTGGGTGGATAATTTAAAGATCCATCACTTAAATGTCATTAAATATCACAGAAAACCAGATAAACAAAAAAGAAACAAAATGAATTCAAATCTTTTATTAGCTTTTGTCTAAAGTTGAACTTTTCTAATTATTATATTGGTATTTTTAAACTTCTCCATATTCTCTACCCTCATTGGACTGACAGTGCAAGTCTTTTGGTGTTGCCTGGGCTAAACTGTTGACTACACCTGATGAGGTGTGGATAAAGACATGCCCGAGGCCAAATTGAAGGGTGGACAGCATTTCTTTCCAGACATCCTCATGATCTCTTCACTGCCTTTTTAAAAAAGATTTTTTAGCTGAGATTATTAAGCAATTTAACAGAAAACCCATAGGTTAGTGGTTTCCACATTCACAGAAGGGTCCCTGGTTCAGTCCCAAATCCTTTTGGTTTAAGAAAATGCATTTGGCGTAAAAATCTGCCAAATTAAAAATTTGGTGCTAACTGTATCGGCGAATCATTGCGAATAAGGAAGCAGCTTAAAATTGCTTTTATTCCTAAAAGCTCTGGTCAGTCCGCACACTTTTGTGCCAGGAACCTCCAGAAACCACTGCCAACCAGTTGGGGAAAACACATTTTTCCAGGGCAACCAGCTCGAGAGTAATCTGCACATGAGGTCACATGAGAAACATCAACAGATATTCTTCCTAGAATTAAAGCAGAAAACTTTTGCTTGGTATGAAAATGTATAAATCAGTCGACTGGTGCCACTAAAATTTTTCGTCACCTAGTTTGTGTAATTTGTGAAGAACCAAATCATGTAAGTGAATGAAAACTAAACATTAACCTTCTGAGGGCAAAGTTACTTTTTTTTGTAATACGGCTTCATTCATCACACAATCCTCTAAAGCAAAAACTGACCCTCGAGTGCTGTTTGAACATCATTGAAAGGCTTGTTGTGAATTAAGTTGAAATAACAGTTATATGTGATCTAAAAGCAAATCTCAGGCGTAACATCAACACTTACTGCAAGCACTAAAAACAGACAGTCATCTTCAATTTAAGGCACCGGTGTGAATCTGTGAACCAGCCAAACTAACCACAGGAGAGTTCTCCTGATCAATAAACAAATTATATCAGGACGATCTATTAACAGCTCTGCACATAAAATCCTCTGATCCTTCAAGGCTCTAATTTCCTCTCACACAGACACAGCTTTCACACCTGAGAGATGTGTGACTTCACAGAGACATTAAGCTTGTAAACAGCGTGATTTAATTAATTGTCTTATTTATATCTGACTTGTGCAGCACCAAGGGACTGAAGGAGGACCAGGGATTTGGGATTTGCTCTGGACAATCGTCCATCTTCTCAAAGGCAAAGAGGAAGACGAGCAGAAGGATGGACTGACACACTGCTGTTGCTCCTCCGCACTTGATCAGTTACATGAATATACACAGCCCAGCTGCTCCAGCCTCAATTGCTCATTGTCTTGTCTCAAACTCACAATCAGCTCTGCAGAAAAGAGCATGCTGAAGCTGTTAGTAATCTATGACCACAGCAGAGAAGAGAATAAAAATGCTAAAAAAAAACAAGAGTCAATAGTGGCTAAATGTCACCAGACATCTCGAGATGCTCCTGGGAGGAATGACTATCATTCTGGATAAGCATTTAAACAGATGAACTGGAGGATAAAGTGACATGACTTCATCTCACCACGTACATCTAACCTGTCTGCTCGGGTTTCCTGTATATAGGTATTTATATCCACCGCCACATGTAAACAGCAATGACTTTACAAGGCATCAGAAAGAAGATGCACATGAGTCGCAAAAGAAATGTAAACGATCGAGGGTTTTTTCCATTTTCCCAGGGATGACTTTCCATTTATCGCCTTCACTCAGCTGGTTGAGGCGTGGGCGGTGAGAAATTGTACAGACTGTTCGTGTCTATCCGAGCTGCAGAAATAAAGTTGACATGAAGTTGAATAAATCTTGTTCGAGAAGAAAAGACAGAGTTGGGGTGGGTGGGGGGAGGACGAGAACGGAGATGAAGATTATTGATTTAGTAGGAGAGCACGAGGAGGACTTTGTATGATGGAGCAGAGAAGCATGATGGGTAGAAAAAGTAGACGTAGGAGAGAAGTAATGAAGGCTAGACCAAAAAAAAAAAATCATTAAGAATGAAGAACGGTTAAAAAAAAAGGTTTGAAGAGAGGAAGTGACAGGTGAATTGATGGAAAGATGAGAGAGAAGCAGGTGTGATGGCAGAACAAGAGAAACGAGGGAAAACCTTTGGAAGTTAAAGATAGGACAGCATACAGGCAGGCAAGTAAAGGAAGATTGGGAAAGACCTACCAGGGTCTGTTGGTAGCTCAGAGCCTTCCTTTGCGATGCATCTGCAGCCATTGACACGCTGTCACTGATCCAAAAATAATCTCGCTGGACACCCCAGCATTTCTAATGGCGTGGGCAACAGCAATGTCACACACACATACACATACACAAACACAAACACACACACACGCTGCCTTATTGTATACCCACTTCACACCAGGTCAAAAACACCACAAAAACATCTAAAGTTTCTCAGTCTCAAACACACTCATTGCATAGAGATAGTCCATAAGTACAGGTGAGGTCCATCCCGAAAGCGCCTTTCTCCAGATGACCCACAGTCTAAGAGCCATCCAGCTCCACCGCAACACCGACAGACACATAGACAGAAATCAGAAAGGCAGACAAAGCAGAGCAAAGCCATCTGATGAGGCAGTGAAGGACACACTGCTTTCCTTTATTAGAACTGCAGACACCTAATAACACACACACGCAACTTGTTGCCCTAAGCAGCACCCTCCCTGCCAGACGGCCATTAGGTGTGTGTGTTTGGATGGCCTGTTCTTGTTTGGACAGGAGTGTTGAGAGGGGTGGTAGTTGGAAGGGTCCCCCCCCCGCCCCAACATAGGGCTGCCCCTGCAACGTGAGCAGGAAGGTGCACATGACACCCCTATGACAGTCCGCACCTATTCAGCCAATGCCGCAAGGCAATCCCCGTAACACTCACATGCTATGGCAGTCCTCTCTTAGAAGGAGGGGGAAAGAAAAAAAAATCACCCCTAGACACACCCCCAATAGCAAGAGCTCAGCTCATACTGATCAGCTCTGCACAGGATCCAGGTACCAAGAGGATAGGCGAGGAGGTGAATTTGTGCTTTACATCGGGCCTTTGGTGTGCTCAGCCAACATCCCATTCAAGCAACTTTAAATTAAACATCTCTAGTTCACTGGCGGGTTTCTCCTCTGGTTCCTCCTCCTAACCCGTTGACACCAGCAGCTATTATGACAACCACAAAAGCACAGGCAGATCCCCCCCTAACCCAGCCCTGCTTTGTGGCCCACACGCTAATGCATAACAGCCTGATCTCACAGCTATACCGGAGGCCAGGGAGAAATGTGTTACACAGACCACCGGCGTGTGCGTGTATGTCAAACGAGAATGATTGTGGACAGCTGGCCCGGGGGGCTCTATCTGATACACTAAGAACATTATCAGTGGGTGGCGGGCAGTGTGAGAGATGCGTACGTTGTCCCGGTCGCAGCACGACCTGAGCACAGCGGAATAGTGGGGAGCCAGTTATACTATACCTGAGAACGGAGGGGGACAAGCTGAACGCCGGGAACAACACACACAAACACAGCAACAAGGAGGATCAAATGGAGCGGAGCATGCACAGGAGCGGCAACAGTGTACATTTGAGCAGAGGGCCTTGACTTTACGGATGCAACGTGATCTAAACCTGTGCATAAAAGCTGTCGTTGCAGAAAATGCAATTACAAACACAGCTTTAAGAACAAACACAGACATTTTTTATTGTTTAAAACCCACAGTCTTTTATTATACTCAACATTTGGCAGTAATTAATATTGAAGTCTCTCCTGCCCCCTCCCCACCCTACATCACATCACCCTACAAAGCACTTCAGCAGAGTTTGGCAGCAAAACGTCTCATTCTACAGGAAAACTATCCTCTTATAACAGTCCAATCTTTTCCTCTCTTAAGTTATGTTCCTTAATTATTAAAACTAAAACATAAGTGGAGTGAGCACGCTTCAGACCAGGGTAAACTCTGCTAAGACCGCCTCATACACAGGATCTTTAAAATCATCCCTTTACTGATAGTTAACAATCAATACTGTTTCAACCACTGTGCCCCTCACTGCAACACTGCTGTAACTAAAACATACTTTGCCTGGTCAGTTTTCTTTTCTTTCTGGGAACCATAAATTCTGGAGCAGCTTTCAGAAATACTTTGTTTGGAGGCGTGCCAGAGACTTATAATATGCTATGAAAGCAGCACCATGGTCATAAACTTATCCAACACATCATCCTCAGCTGGCACAGGCTTTTTTTTTAAATGGAAGACACTTTTTTATGTGTTGTGCATCGATTATAGTAAAATACAATGGCGAGACTTTCTAAATATGCAGCTCCTATGCAGGAAAAAACACTACAAGTAAAATGTGTAAAGGTCAGAGTTCATACTGTCTGTAAGTGACCCTACATGTAGCACCAGACTGCACTCCACCACCCTGACAGAGAAATTTACTAAATATCAGTAAATGTCAATTTAAAGTGAGAAGATAAACTTCATACTGAAGCTGCCCTGTAGGTGTTGTTCTTTTCGTAAGGCAAACTATGTGAGGAAAAAAAAAATCATATATTCTAATTTAATAGTTCAAAAACTCTATTGTTTAATTTTAAACATAGCTGTCTGTAACCATGGCTGCCATGACAATAAAGCTCTTCTTCAACAGAAGGAGATGTTAATATTGATGAAATCGAGATGCTGAAATGCATTTTGCTGCGCTGCCCCCTGCCTGTCACTACGTTAATAACAAGAAATGTTCATAACATTTAACATACATTATGTACAAATATAAGAATGGGCCTTACAATCCTTATAAAAAGAATTCCATACAAAATAAAGCCACAAAAATAGATCTGTGTACAAAATACATTTTAAAAAGAGGTTTGTGAAAGCTCAAAGTAGCTGTGCAGTTTGACTGCAAAGGATTAACATCTAAACCCTCTAACTGGCATAGACACAGACACACAAATATATACATGAGCACACTGTATGCCAATAGGTTGCCCATTTCCATGTACATGTAGATTAACAGAAGCTCGCTCCTTTTTTCTTTCCAGGATTTGTGTATATGTGTGTGTGCTTGTGAATGTCTAGTGGTTTGAATGGACAAATTAAAACCACTAGACATTTGGATGTCAAGTTGTAACAGGGGGGAATGTGTGAGTGTGTGGTGTGCAATAAACAGCTGTGATGCCCTTACTCCAGGCTTCAATACAAGGAATGATCTGTGTGTGTTAATGTGCATATTAATACTGGGGCTGGTGTTTGGGGAAAAAGTAGAGGTCTTTGCACAATGAGCTGGTGAACTCTGACATTTCTTTGCAGCGGTGGTGGGCAGTACCTGGGGCGTAGCCCTCCCTCTCCTTAATACGACTGTTCACCTGGGAGAAAAAGAAAAAAAAAGACATGTTGGTTTCAAAAATGTATTATATATCAAAATAGCAGTTTGTAATCTGCAACTGCAGTCTGAAAAAACATGTTTACCTGCACCAATATGTCCGCAAGGTGGGTGTCTCTGGCGTGGAGGCGGAGTGCTGAGTTGAGTTCCTGGATAAACCAGGATCCTCTCTTAGTGTTTCGCATGGCTGCTGTGCCTTGAGGAGGAAAAGATCAAACAGCAGAAGTGTAATACATCAAGATGAGACACAGAAAGACAGAGCGAAGGTGTTGTCTGGTAGAGCTTTACATAATAAAGCTTTACATAATAAGAATCAATTTCAGATCCACTTTTGATTCGCTTGTGCACAAAAAAACCCCTCTCAAGCAGAAATTTTAATTGCACTGCACAAAAAGCAGAAATAATGATTAGGGCCAAAGATAATTTAAAAAAGAAGAATTACAAAACCATTACTGCTGATCCCGATGGCCTCATTAGTTTTCCTCTTACACCAGTGTTTCAGTTAATGAATAAAATATCATATATAAACCCACCCCAGAATAACAAATTAGATAAACTTACAAATTCTCTGACCTTTGAGAGACGCAAAGCCACAGATCATGTCCGACCGCTGGGGAAGTTTAATCCTGGGTCTTCCTGTGTCCCCCCTCTGTCTGGAGTCTGCATCCCCCTGTCCCTCCCTGCCAGCATCCCGCTGTTCACAGCTTGGTGAGCACGTCCTCTTTGGCCCGTCTATCTGCTCCACGCCACAGTCCATCTCCTCTGGAAGACAAGTAAGTTTCAATTAGGCCCAAAAAGATCTAGCAGCAATATTATTGCAATAACTGGGTTGGATTACTGCAGTTTTTAGTCATTTGTCTCAAATATTCTTTAATAATGAATGCAACTGTCCACCAAAGGGGCAAAGCATTTTATTGACACTATAGGCCAGTGAAAACAAACCAAAGCAGAAGAGATTAAAACTGAAAGATTAAAAAATGCATGTGTGATTCAACGCTGCACTGTAACACCACCTGAGCAGACATAGATGGAGCAATGAAGCTGTGCCTGCTCAGTTAGCATGCTTCTCAAGCTGTTGCCCCAGTCTTAAAAAAGCTAAACAGCTTGAACTCAATGGGTTTCCTGCAGCTCTTTGATAAACTCAAGTATTATTCCAAATGAATTCTGGAAAAAGTCTGAAAGCGAAGCTATCACTGGCATTTAGCATGAGCCCTGGTTGAAATGTTTTTCTAAACTTCTGAACGGCAGAAAACGAAGAAATCTTGCACTGAAATTTACATAGCACTTTTCTAGTCCACCTGACTGCCCCCAAAGCACTCTACACCACAAGCCACATTCACACAGCACTACGCCGCAGGCACTTTGAAGCCTTTAGCTATCCATCCATCCATTTCTTTAACCGTTTAAAGGACTCAGGGTCACAGGAGAGCTAAATCCTATCCCGGCTAACATTGAGTGAGGAGTGGCATACACCCTGGACAGGTCTCCAGGCTATCACAGAGACATTCACACCGGCGGCCAACTGGGAATCACAAATTCCACTAACGTGCATGCCCTAGACTGGTGGAGGATCCTGGGTTACTTGGAGGGAAAACCATGCAGGCACACAGAGAACATGTATATTCCACAAAACAAGGACCCTCTTGCAGTGACCTCACAGTGTTAACCACTGTGTTGCAAACAACACTTACTTATTTTTCTTACTTATTAAGAAAAACTGGCAGTATACCAATGTATCCATGAACACTCTAAATAAGCAATATCTGAATTTCACTGAAGCTATTTCCAGAGCTGCTAAGCACATCTAATAGCCTTTCAGCAGCACACCTGTGTTGGGCTCTGTGTGCAGCGAGGGAGTGTGGGAAGTAATTAGGTTTGCTCCTGAGGGGTCTAAGGATCTGTCATGAGCATCACTGGGTGTGCAGTCAGGCCATAACCTCCGTCACAGAGACAGAACAACTGACTTGGAGCTTGTTAAGCCACAGATTCATTTTATTTTTATTGTGCTGAATTTGTTTGAAGTTTCATCAAAATATTATAAAGAAGATGAAAACTGACACAAAACTGAGATTTTGGCACAATCCACAGCTGGAACTGTAGAGTAAATGGGCGATTCTGAAACTGCCACCCACTGTGATTCTCTCAGTGGGCATGACAATGACAGCAGACAACATCTGGCCATGTGAAGGGGAAGATTGGTACCACTATTTCATAATGCTGCACGGCTCTAAGAGATTTTACCCAGGTAGTTTCTCAGAACTGTGGACAGTGCAGTCCCCAGAACATGTTTACCGTATAATTCTTTTTTATTGCTGTGCTGCACAATCTCATTCATCTTACCTCCTCTGCAGGCCTGGATGAAAAACATCTTTGGTTTGTTTTGTAGAAGTGGACAGTGTGCATTGTCAAAGGCCTCAAACACCCAGTCCAACTGAAATTGACCAAGTTAAACACAATTAGCATTAAATGTCAGAAAAAAGCAGTTGAATCTTTGTTATTGAATGACATACCATACATCTACACAGTAAAGTGTCAGACAAACTGACCTGGAGGAGTTTGCCATCTGTACCGTACACTGCCCCTTCCACTCCGTGGGAGAGCAGACACACCACACAGCTGTCCACTGTCCGGTGCTCTGGCCGTCTGGAAAAGTTCTCAATGCAGGTCCTCATACCCTACACAAGAATACGAACAAGAACAAGCATCAGCATATGTGGTCAAAGTCAGCGTTAACACAAACGCAACAATCTTTCAGTCCAAATTTCATAGAAGCTGTATTCAAACATTTTCATTCTCACTAATGGAAACACTCAACTTAGGGTCTGACTTAAAGTGTGCAGGATGACACCCCCTCACTAGCAATGGATTCATTAGACCATGATGTGCAGTAAACAATCAGGTTCAAGGCAGGATATGTGCATCTGGACTTAAATTAATTAAACGTGAAGTGTGTTTACTTTGTGACAAACCTCCCACCTTCCTCAGACAGCAGTGAAAGTGGGCTAACCAGAACAAATCCTACATTAAAAAAACCTGTCTACACCATATCCCCAGTCTTTCTTAACTTAAAAATTTCAACAAGTGACTTTCTCCAAACTGTGTCAGGTGAAGAGGTTGCTGAGGATCTAACATCTTCTTTTGTTTGGCCCAAACGTCCTTTCTTTAGGTTTATCAATAAATAAGAT